ATTAGAGACCGAACTGCTCAAGACCCGCCTTGCCTGTATAGAGGCCGGCTGCAATCTGGCCGATAGCTGAAAACATGGCAATGCGTCCGTTGTTGATCTCACGAGCCCTCATTTCATCCGAGTAGTCATCAAACCAAGGCAATGGATTGCCAAAGTTGCCTGGCTCCTTGCTCTCATCCTGCACAAAGACTGTTGCTTCAAGCACTGCGATGATCCCAATGACCAAGAAAAAGCCAATCTGGCCGTTGCCAACAGTTGCTGCTGTCACATCCTTTGGCACACCTTCGAAGCCAGGCAATTGCACAAGGCTCTGCGTCAACATTCCAAGGGCGCCCATCATCGCCAAGCGACCGTGCTTAATCTCCTTGGCGCGGAGGTCCTTGAAGGTAGCCTCATCCTTGCAGAAATCCAAAGGGTCAAAGAATCCAACAGGATCCATAGCACCAATCTGGGTCTCCTTGCTGAAGTTGCACACAACATTCTTGCGGCCAACAGGCTTCTTACCACCGGCAAAGCCCAATGCGGCAACACCAGCAGATGCGGCAGCAAGGGCAGAGTAGGCACCAAAGTTGGACTCAGACTGCGCTGACACAGGTGCAGAACCACGAAGGGTCACTCCCTGTGTGCCAGGTGTTACAAAAGCATCCACACAAGGAGCGGCCAGGACGCCAGCAATGAGAGTCTTTGCATAAGCCATGGTGACAAGTCGGTGTCCAAGATTATGTCCACGAAAGCTTGAGCACACCTAAGAGTCTGGGCGCAAGGAGAGAATAGCTCTCGAAGATTGCAGCAACGATTGTTCAACGCATGTCAAAAATGTTCTTTGGTGCCTGAAACTTCTGCACAACATGAAGGGCTGACCCAAGTTCCCTACAGTAAGATTGGAGGGGGAAAGAAAAGTAAGATACTGTGCCTGGAGGCCTGCGAACACCAAACACACCTTTTCCACACTGTTCCTTTCTCAGATGGTATACATCTGGACTGGTGTTGCCAGATGAACCTGCAACTCTGCATCCAAATTCAACATCTGATCGCCACAAGGGTGACTGGAGTCACGAGCATGAGCTCTGACTCGAAAATGGACAAGCTAGCGCTAAACAAAAAGATATTAGAGACCGAACTGCTCAAGACCCGCCTTGCCTGTATAGAGGCCGGCTGCAATCTGGCCGATAGCTGAAAACATGGCAATGCGTCCGTTGTTGATCTCACGAGCCCTCATTTCATCCGAGTAGTCATCAAACCAAGGCAATGGATTGCCAAAGTTGCCTGGCTCCTTGCTCTCATCCTGC